AAGTTCTCATTGATGTGAAAGAAAAAGTCTCAGTAACAGTTGTTTATCATTTTTTTTATTGTTAGTTTTTTTAACTTTTCTTCTTGACTTTAGACCAATCACAACTACTACGAAGTATGAATAAATTAATACTGACATTTATGGTCTAGTCTTGTTTTCACACTATCACCGGTAGATCCTACGAAATTCATGTGCATACTAAGGAAAGTTTTAATATCAATTTATGAAGTAATGGTATAGATTTCAGAATTAGACTAAAATTATTTTAGTAAGGAATGATGTCATTATTTTTAATAATATTACTATCTCTATTATAAATTAGATGTCTTGTTTGGAAAATCGTTTCTAAACAGGACATCTGTTTTGAAACAAAGGAAGTATTATTTATCCTCACTCACATAAAACAGTATGATATATTAACCTCTCCAACTACTTTTCGATATTTCGACATAAATTCTTCACTTTTTTATTATAATTATGTCAAATTTCGAACATGGCCGTTCGAATGATAACACTACGAGAATTATACATACTTGAACTCCTCTTTCAGCGAATGTGATCTGACCTCAATTTATGTGCATGGCAGCTGTTTTCCTCCTTACTTTGTTGTTGTTCCTCAACCTAATTTATTCATTAATTTAAGATTAATATTTTAAGACCTGACATTTTAGATCTTTTCTTTAATTTCTTCAGATTCCTAAACTTATGATCAAACTTAAAAGTTGTATTAGTACTGGTGGAATTAAAGTAGCGTAGGTTTGGACAAGAAAACAAAGGTGATGGTCATTAAGTATTTGACGTGTGTATTATTATGATTATAAACATTCTTTTATTAAAAAAGTTATCTTTAATGTTCAAAATTTGTTAAAATATGTTCTAAAACACTTGAGAAGTTTAGATTTGTGATTAAAGTCGATGTGAAATATGGAACACATGTTGTGTTATAAATAAATAAATATATATTTTTTAAAATTATGAAAATATTTAAAAATATTAAAGACGTATTCACAAGTGTTTAAAAAAATATCAATATCTAATACCGAAATGATCAATACCGTTACTCTTGTGGAAGTATTCCTACTTCTTAAGATATATATATATATATATATATATATATAGGTTCTTGTAAAATTAATATACAGTGTTACTCAGTGATGGGTGGAGGGGGTAAACACGTAAATATCAGGTACATATATATATATACAATCCAATTAAATATATGTGTGTGGAGAGGGACAAACATTGAGCACGTTGAAGGTTAGCATGATCCAGCTGTTTTAGCTGATGTTATCGAACCACGTCTTTGCTGATGTCCTCTCCAACTGATGAACAAATATTCAAACACTTAATTATTGTACTAATTTGTTATATATGCGTGTTTAATTAGTGGATTATTAATTAGTCAATGCTGACAATCTTAGTGGAGCTAGCTCATTTAGAAAGTGAACATTCCAATCAACATTATAGGGTTAATTTTAAATTGAATCATCGGATTACGTGTCCTATCCTAAAATCGTCCACACCCTCAAATCCTCTCTGTATAGCATTAACAACCTCGAATTAACAAAAGAATGTTTATAATCATAATAAATAATACACACGTGCAATACTTTAAAAAAGAAGTAAATTAAGCAGGCTGTTTATGCTTTACAGACAGGATTTGAGGGTGTATGTCGACAATTTTAGTCCGAGGACCAGTTGATTGCAATTTAAAATTAATCTATATAATGATGTTGTTTGGAATGTTCACTTTCTAAATGCACGATTTGGGAAATTAAATATTCAAAGGAAACCGCGGGCTATACCAGGCAAATTGCTTTTTTAAAACTTTGACTATAAATGAACATTGGCAAAAGTGTAAGAATCATGTAGTATTATTAAAGTAAAAAATAATATACCAATCAACAAACGCCAAAAAATATAGCTCAATGATCATGAGATTCCTTTTTATAACATTTTATATAGATAAGGAATTGATTTGTAACCCGAGATGATTCATGAATTACTTTTTACTTTTGTGATAGTACAGGGATTTTTTGCACTTTTACCATGAAAATTTGAGTGAATATAAAAACATCAACAGAAAGTAACAAAGGAATTTTTTTATATCACCGAATAAAAAACAATCTTTTGAATTAAAGAAGAGAAATCAAGCGGACAAAGAAAAAGAACCTACAAGCCAAGGAGATGTTTAATCATTTGGTAACCAGAGTCATTCTTTGATATTGATAAATCATCACTATGAGTTAGACTCAATAGAATTTGATCAATCTTTTTTTTTATCGTTAAGGCAGAGAATTGAACCAAAAATTATCTTTCTCTATCATCAATCGAATCACTGTTCATGACTCAGGATTCTATTTTATCATCAATCCAATTCCTGTTCCTTTTTTTTTTTTTTTTTTTGTAATGAATAGATCTTTTTACTTTTATGATTTAGATGTCGGTTGCGTTCATATGCATGGAATTGGAATTTATGGAATTGGAATTTTTTTTTTTTAATTTAGGCTTCGTTTGTTTCGACGTAAAATATTTTTCATTTTTAGGTAAAATATACTTTTATTTTTACTTTATCAGCGTTTGACAAAGATTTATGTTGAAGTTGAGATCAAGTCTATCGAGCGGGGTATATAAAATAACTTGCCGAAAATTAATGGATAAATTATTTTTATTAAATTTTAATATATTTTTTTCTTCGTAAATATTTTTCGACAACCAAACACCACAAAATAAAAAAATATTTTACGTCCAAACAAATAAAGCCTAAATTTTGTTAGTTATTTATTTATTTTTTTTCCTAATTCCACAAATTCCTATTCCAAATCTCCAATTCCATGCAAATGAATACAACCTAAATATAAAAGATCATTCTACCTTCATGCATTTTTTTGTTGTGGTTCCTTAAAATTATATAAGACGAATATATATGACGGATATAGAACACAAATACAATACTATATAAATGATATGGCAAATCTTAAAAAATATAAGATACGAGTATAATATGAATACATTAAAAAATTATAATATAATATATATTATTTTATCATTTTATCCATATTATGAATATAATCACTAATTTGGAGCATAAAACTAGATATTTGTTATTTTTGTTTTCTTAAATTTTATATTATTCTTCAAATGAATCTATAATATATTTTAAATTGCATTGGATCACTTTTTTCCAAAAAATTAATTATAAAACCACCCACCATATCCTAAAAGTGTCCAAAAAGTTTTCTTGTAGTGCCCAACGGTCTCAACTAAAAAATAAAATATTTAATTTTCAGAATAATTCTAATCGATACCGACACCACTTCGTGCTAGGACAAACCCTATCTAATATATACCCAACATGTTGATATGGATAAATTGTCTATATATGAATTTACGTGAAAAAAATAATAAATAATAATCTAATGTGTACACGTAATGTTTCATAATTTTTTTTTTTAAAAAAAAAAAAAAAAAATCAATTCTGGTTAGCTAATTAACAATATTCTTTTTTCTTAGAGTACTTCCAATCAATTAATAGGGTGCATGTCGCAAATTTATCTCATTGTACCCATGATTATCAGTGAAGATGGTATAATTTTTCCTCTTAAACAGGAAGGTTGAATGTTTGAGATAAACAAAAAAATTGAATATTCTAGTATGGGAGTGTATGCGTTTTGTTTGAACTTTTTGAAGTACATATCACACCCTTTACATAGAAAAACACCCTTAAAATTTTAATTTGATATAAATAAGTCCATCAGACAAATTTGAATCTTAAGTTGACTAAATTACCCTTACTGAATCATTTTATAAAATATATAAAAATAAATAATTTTGTAAAATAACCAAAAATGACATTATTGGAGGACGTCCCTCATGTGCAAAAAACACCCATAAAATTTCAATTTAGTATAAATAGGTCTGACAAATTTAAACCCTAAGTTGATTGAATTGCCCTTACTGAACCATTTTATAAAATATATCCATCACATATTGGAGGACGCCGACAATGGACAAGTAAAGATAAAAATAAAATAAAATAAAATAAAATAAAAGTATAAAAGAAAAGTAAAGACAAAAATAAAAATAAAAAAATAAAAAAAATGAAAATAAAGTACAAATTAGAGAAAACAAATCTACTCCAAACTCCGAAAATCAGTGCACATTGATATTGAGATAATTTTTTTTTTTCAAAAAAAAAATTGGTATGGAAAAAAAAATAAAAAAAAGTACAAAACAGTAAATTAGAATCTCAAAAAATTCAAAACTTTATTCTACAAATTCTTAAATTTTCAAAAAAAAAAAAAAAAAAGTTTAATATATAGAGAAAAAAGTTTTACAAAAAAATATATATATATAAGGTAACGTGTACATAACATTCATATACTATGAGATTAGTACCATATATACTCCATTGGAAGAATAAAAGGGTAAAACGGGTATTATAATATTAATTTATGTCAAATTTCTGATTGAGGAATATTTTTATATAATATAAAAATAATAAGGGCATTTTTTTACACACTTTTTCAAATAGGAGGTTAAGTACTAGTAGGAATATATTTTAAAGTTGTTTTTTTAAAGTTGTTTTTTTAAGCATATTCTTATATGTAAATACTGCGGAGAAAAAAATTTCATGAATACTGCAGTAGGGCCCAGAATCTCCTGCCGCCTCCGATCAAACCGCGTCCTAATCAGGAAATTAACACCACCCACCATGTCTTTCTTCCAAATGCAAAACCACTTTCTTTTTCTTTTTTTTCTTTTTTTCAAGTTTTGAGTCGCATTTGTTCACGAAACCAGCAAATGTGATGTTGACACTGAAATTTGCTTGGAAGCTCCTTAATCTTATAATATGTGACCACGTTGCAATCATCATACCTGAATGACTTTAACATATCCACTGTTCCACACCTATATATACATGAATGGATCACAATTACCCCTTCCTGAATCTCTTTGTCGAATACTTCAATACATTGCATCAACAACTTAGCATCACGGAGGAGCCAAGTAGCAACCAAGGTGGATTTAGCATGGCCTCGCCCTACCGGGGAGTCCGGAAGCGGAAATGGGGCAAATGGGTGTCGGAGATTCACGAGCCAGGGAAGAAAACCCGAATTTGGCTAGGAAGTTTCGAGACTGCGGAAATGGCGGCTGCGGCGTACGACGTGGCGGCATTGCACCTTAAAGGTCCCAAAGTGCAATTGAATTTTCCCCAACTTAGGGACAGTTTTCCTCGACCTGCAAGCTCGAGTGCTAAGGATATACGTCTGGCGGCACAAGAGGCTGCTTCGGGTTTCAAGAGGCCCACTAAAGAGCTTGAGCCAGGTAGCTCTAGCTCTAATCCAAGTCTAGTAAGGATAGAACTCTCTCCGAGTCAAATTCAAGCCATTAATGACTCACCTTTCGACTCACCCAAAATGTGGATGGAGTTGACTGATGCCCTTATGGTAGAAGAACATATCATATTTTCTAATGATATTGAGATAAGTGATGAGGAAGAAATACCTGATGATTCCCTATGGGATTCTTAGGTATTTCAATACTAGAAGCTACAGTAATGACCGACCATTTAATTATACATATTTACTTTTTATAACCATACTATATTTCATGCTTGGTCATTTGATTTTTTCAAATGGGTCTCTTTTAACATCAAATTACTTTTATATGGAGGGTCCCATAATCAGCTGAAAATATTTTTGACAACTCATTTGAAAAAGATTTTAAGTGAGTGAATTTTTTAGTGAAAGGGTTAAAATTTCAACTCTCAGATATGCTACAATTTTTATAGTCATGAGTGGTGTGATGTAATTTATATTGTTCCTTTTTTTTTTTTTTTTTTTTTTGGGTTTGTTTGTTTCCTACTTTATATATATAAGAATCGAATTGTTGTTATAATAAAGTGGCTTTTGATTGTTTAGTATACTCTTTATCAATATAGTATATTATATACGTATCTAGTGTGAGACCTCTCTTTAATCAAAAGTGAAGTTGTACCAAGAAGTTCTGTGTTTGGTTGAAGTTTTAAGTGTGGGGAATATTAACTCTCTTCAATTCAATCAAATGGTAGATGTTTGTATTATCATCAGTCATATTTTCACTTTGCTCTCCTAAAAAATTAGGGTCCCTATTAATTCTCTCAAGTCATCTAAAGTTTCATTCAATTTTCGGGTTGTATGTATTTAAAGGGAATATATGACAATAAACGACGACCTGACATAAACTTACTTCACCACAAGCACTACAATAAAAGAAAATGTCAAGCACAGAAATAAAAATGCAAAAAACTCACAAAAGGTCCCGAAACTTCAACTTCATTCCCTAATCCACACGATCCTTGCACCAAAATACCTGGACTTGAAAAAAAAAACATTTTAAGAGAAAAATATATACAAGTCCTAAGCTATAAGAATTAAACTAAAACTAATCTTTAACTTAACAATGAAACTGTTACACAGTCCTTGGCAACGGCGCCAAAAATTGATGTGACAATAATAAAAGAGTACACGCAATAGAATGAATTCTTGTAGAATATGGCTATGTTGAGGTGTCGAATATTAAGGATTGTGGTGGATTGTTAAGTATGAGAATACTTCCAATCTAATTCGAAAGAAAAGATTGCTTTGTTAATTTTCTATTCCTAATTGCAAAGGAATTAAAGATAATTGAAAGTAACCTAAGCTCAGAGATGTAGATATCAAGGAAGAAAGGTTAGTGATTTGACTTCACCACTAACCTCATAATAATGATCAATTATATTTCATTCGGAGAAATTGACATTATGTATAACTATGAATCATGTGGCTACAAATACACAATGATAATGACAAGAAGATATGTATATAATCAAGCATCAACTATAAATCATTTTTGGTTAGTACAAATTGCCTACCTAACTACTCTAAACTAGGGTGTAGCACAACTTGTCTTCCCTTAGCATGAATTATCAAAACACTTATTTATATATTTAATGAAAATCATTGTAGGATCATTACTTTTATAATCACATAATATAAAAGTAATTTGATTTCAATTAAAATAAAACCAATTCTAAGACAAGATAATGAATTTCATTAAAACTGATTACAAATATTAAATCTTAATTGTTTAGCATAACTAAGTCAATTATCTAAACCACGCAATTAATATACATAACTAGAAAATTCCCCAAAGTTAAATATAATTAAACCATGTTACTTGGCTAAGGTTACAAAAATTCCTTAGGAAGAATTTAGCTACTTGTGGAGAAGATAGAAAGTTTTATCATTGAGGAGTACACCATCTCTATTACGATCGATGCTAACCATAGTAGAAGGTTGTGTAACCTTGGCAAGGCTTGTAAGATGTTTGGTATTCTTTCTGGAGTGGTTAATTAAGATTAGGGGAGGCAAAGAATGACACGCGACCTGCCAATACGACTTAAACACGATACGAGTTAAACGGGGCTGGGTCGTAAACGGGTCAACACGATTAATCCGTTTAGTTAATCGTATCGTATTTGGGTTGAGAAGTTCAACTTGTGTAACTCATTTATACCCATTTAATTATACGTGTCATAAATAAATTTCTATTTAAGTTCCAAAATAACTATTTTCAATTGCATCTTATAATTTATTCTTTTGTATGTTAGAGATTATTTAGTAATTTGGTCGGATTGAAACTTACAGTATATTTTGTATTATTTATTGTTTGATTGAGTATTATTAATAATTTAAATAATATAATGTTTTGTTTTATTAAATAGGTCATTAAACGGGTTACACATATAACCCGTTTAATAAACATGCCAGTTGGATTAGTATTAAGGGTTTCTGACATAATTATTAAATGAGTCGTGTTTGTGTTGAGCTATTTAGTAGATACCCTTAAATCAACACGAAATGACACGATTACGAACCGCGAACATGAATTGTCACCCCTAATTAAGATCGATCATAGAGGAGCTAGGATAAATCATAACTTCATGAATTTCAGCTTCCCATCCTCCTTTAGCCCGAAATCATCCCCGAACACACCAGTGCCTTTCCCGATCCTTGGAAACGTCATTAAAGGCACGAAATAGGTAAAATTGACTGGTTTTAAAGACAAGTACCGAAAAATAACCGAAACCAGTACTAGTGCATAAATATCACTAAGGTGTTAACGTATGTAACCTTTAGGCCTTGAATGTGCAACATTCAATACTCATCAGCTCTATTTTTGTAGGGTCAATAGTCCTTCTTTGCTCATTTTTCGTACTATATAGGAGTGTGATTTGAACATAAGAAATATTATTTGCACACTTTTCAAATTATAAAGATTTTTTTACACTTCACCCCATGATGGGATGTGTCTACTTGTTGTGGACCTCTATTCTGTGTACATAATATCAGCGTTCGAATGTTTTTTAGTTACTTTACTAGCTGTTCATTTGGGTTTTTACCATAAAAATATAAATATATATATATGTAAAAAATTGGTTTTACTCATCTCGTTGGCCTATTATCGGTGTCAATGCTCCCTAACATCCCAACTACTACTGTTTGTTTTCACATTGGACTTGAATAACATTTAAAGTCATGTGCAGAGAGGCAGTGCTTAGCACTGATGTTCTCCAATTCTATGAGTTGGACTTATTAGTTTGCTTTTAAAGTTTCACCTAACACATCACATATAGCATCTACAATTTTCGGAGAAAGTTAATTTGCTTTTGAAGTTTCACCTAACAGATCACATATGGCATCTTCCATTCTCGTAGAAGATATTCAATGAGTTGGGAATGTACAATATTGTTATGTTTGGCTCTGTTGGATCCCAAAATTCATCGACGTCTACACAAACCTAAAGCTAGTAATTAAGGTAGAGATAGCTGATGGAGATGCCGGGGGTGATGGAGATGCAGAAGGATTTTTTTGATTCCATAATCATAAAAATGGTCCACAACAATTACAACATAGATCCTCAGAAAACGTTTTCATTTGTGGCAAAGAGGTCAGATTGAAATCCCACCCTCTTCAATTAACGAATCCACCGAGCAATTCTTGAGAAACCTCATTGCTTTTGAGCAACGTTGCCCTCAGTTTCCAGGCGATTTCTTATCGCATGCATGCTTTCCTTATGGATATTCTCATTGACAACATTGATGATGTCGAATTGCTTGAAGAAGCAGGAATCATACATAATGGCTTGTGTTCAAGAGAAGCGGTGCTCCATATCTTCAACAATATTTACAAAAGTGTTGTACCACATAATTTTCTTTATAGTCAGCTTTTGATGGAGGTGAAGAACTTCTGCACACCTGGGCGAGTAAGTTATCGAAAGTTGCCTGCATTTATATTTCGGTCATTACCCATATGCAGACACAAGCCGCAAAGCATCACAAAAACTTACAAAACAACCAACTCTAGATAAAACCAACACTAAGTTAGGTCATGGCATCCGTAATGATAACAACCTAAAGCTTAAAAAGGTATCTGAAGTATTGGGCTGACTAAGAGACGTAAAAAGGCAGAAAACCAAAGGCTGGGGAGTCTGAACAGGACAACATTGGGCCGGGGCTGTAGGAAAACAAAGAGACCCTCAACAGAACCTGAAGTGGCCCATATGATACTTTGTGCCGGGCCAGGCCCATAGTCCCCTTCCAGCGATTTCCTACCCAATAATTCATAAGCCACTTCAGGAACCAGATTGATAGATATACATAGACACTTGAAAAAATGTCTACAACTTCTCTCCTACCCAAATCCATCTCACCTTTTCTCACAAGCCCACCTTCAATCCCTTTAACCCACTTCACCAATATCTCTTTCTTGAACTACCACCCATCAAATCAGCAACATCCTCTTGGTGGCAAATTATCAAGCCGCCATGGAAGGTAAGCCACAGATAGCATTTTTAAGAGAGAGAAAAATGAGAATGGAAATAAAATTTGAATTATAATTACTAAACTTATTTCCGTTTTTTTTTTTTTTTTTTAAATATTAAAAATAAAAAAAAATTTATTGAACATTATTCTACTTTTTATTTCAGTTCAAAAAAAAATTAGTAACAAGGCGATCTTGGAAGTCCAACAATCACAAATGGCACTTTACTTCCATTTTGGGTCAAGCATGTTTATTAAATTGCATTTGGTTGTGCTAGAAGTAGTGTATATACATATATATACACAGATACATATACTACTATATGTTATATTGTATTCTGTACACCGCACTAATGTTAAAAGAGAGTTGTGTGAGAGAGAGAGAGAGAGAGAGAGTCGGTCGGAGATTGGAAATGGGAACAACTATCTCTTAGTTGTCACTTGTGATTCTCTGTCAAGTGGTGAAATCCTATCCCAACTATCTCTTTGCTGTCACTTACTATTCTCTGTCAAAAGGTGAAATAGATATTTGGAATAAGTCAAATAATGTAAGAGCGGGAGTATAAGAGCGACACAATTGAGTACAGGGATCTGGACTTGGTTGTCGGAAATCTCATTGGAGTTTAACGGGAACCTATCTCGGTATTGGTATGTCTAGAATTGGCTCACCTCAAGCCTATTTATTTTTAA